TGTTTGGCTTCATATATATTTACATACACACACACACACACACACATACATATTTTAAAAACATCTTGGATTATGTAGTGTTTTTCTTGGGCAAACATTTCTGTCATTTTTAATATGGTTAAACTGTATTTAGTCAACATGGAGGTGGCAACTATAATTTATCTTCTAGGAACATTCTGTCCTTCTAGTGACTACTGCTCAATTGTTCCTTCAGGCTATCTTACAGCAAGATTATAAGAACACATTTTAAAAAGTCTAATAAAAACTGTCCATAAAAATGTCAGTGCTTTATTTATTTCTGGATACCAGCTATTAGGACAAAAAAAGCACAAGTAACAGTAAACATATTTTTCCAAAAAAAAGCATAAGTAACAATAAACATTTTTTTAAAAAATTGCATTTAATATGCATAAAAATATCTGTATGCTAAAGGCAACTAACAGTTGGCTCTATAAACATAGAATGCATAGTTAACAAGAAAAATTCTGGGGGATGGGACTAAAAAGTTTTTCTATTTCTTTGCTTTTATGGTCCTTTGTTTTGCTTTCATAAAATTTTCAATGCTTAACTAAGAATTTGAATGTGTCAATTCTATTTATAAAAAAGTGATGATCAAATAAGATGCTTAGCAAGGCTGTTTCCTTTATAACATTATTTTGAAAGTTATTAATAAAGGATTCAATAGATGAAGGTATACATGCTCTGCTAATTTCTGTTAAAAAAAAAAAAAGCAATACTGGGGCTGGGGATGTGGCTCAGTGGTAAAGCACTTGCCTGGTATGCAGGAGTGCCTGGGTTCCATCTCCAACACTGGAGAAAGGGAAAAAAGCAATATTATTAATTTTACAAAGACTTGTAGTTACAATTAATTTCATTCCTGATCTTATTTGATGGCAGGGAGGCATGCCATTTAAAAAATATACATTAAAAATAAAGGGAGCTGGGGGCTGGGGATGTGGCTCAAGCGATAGCGCTCTTGCCTGGCATGCGCAGGGTGCTGGGTTCGATCCTCAGCAACACATAAAAATAAAGATGTTATGTCCACTGAAAACTAAAAAAATTAATAAATAAAAATTAAAAAAATTAAAGGGAGCTGATAATTTAGCTTTGTGGTGGAATGCTTGCCTAGCATTCAAGAGGCTTTGGGTTTGATCCTCAGCACTTGGAAAAAAAGGAAGAATAAAAAATGAAAATATACATAAACATTCTTCCCAGACTGTATATATCTGACAGCTAATTAGAACTTTCCCACTTCAACTATCTTTTTGGTTCTGGGGTTTGATCCCAGGGCACATACACATAATCACTGAGGTATACTTCCACCAGCCTCCAACCTCAAATATCTTTTTTGAAAGGTCTCATGACTTTTATGAAAGTGTGACTGATTAGCTCTAAAATTTGAGATTCCTCCTTATTATTACCATCTTAATTTTTTTTAAAAGAAAACACATACATTTAAAAGATTCACAGTAGGCGCAGTGGTGCATGCTTGTTGTCCTAGTGTCTCAATTGGTTGAGGCAGGAGGATTGCCAGTTTGAGGCCAACCTCAGCAATTTAATGAGCCCCTGTCTCAAAATAAAAAAGGCAGGGGCTGTAACTCAGTGATAAAGTGCCCCTGGATTCAATATCAAATACCCAAATAAATAAATGGATTCATATAAGTATGGATCCCACACTTAATATTCTATTACTTTAGTAATACTCAGTATTAATTAGAACTCATAGAATCCTCATGATTACTGTGAGATAGTTAATTTGAAAGCATAGTTTTTTCATGCAGTTTTATTCTTTACTGCCATCAAAAACAAAGTAGTTTGAGAACATTTTCTGATGAGAAAGAGTAGTAACTAGAGCAATCGCATTACGATTTCAAATGCATGAATACATCCCCACATACTGGTCAAGGTCCACATTACATGTGATTTTTCAAGTTTATGTCTGTTTTAATGTCATTTCAATTCCTGTAATTAGAGGATGGAAAACAAACACAAGTAATCACAGAGTAATAAAAAGAGAGCATTTAAACATATTTCTAATATTCAAAATTGAAAGATACTATTGTTTTATACTGAGACACTGAGAAGGAAACTGAAGCCAGAAAATAAATTTGGAGTGACAAAGGAGGTTGGGATGATTGTGAGAGTGAAAATTGAGAAGGATTCCTACAGTTAATGCTCAGAATTATTCTTTATGTTTAGATTAAGTGACATATTTCATAGCATATAATATAATCAATACAATTCTTTTGCTTGCATATATTAAAATAAAGGCCCATGTATTCCATTCTGCTTTCTTATTTATGTGGCAGGAGAGTTATTTCTCCTGTTTCATTTATTCCTGGGACTGGCCCATACCCATCTAGCGTAATAGTAAAAATATTTTTTATTTTTTTGTTGTAGATGGACAGAATACTTTTATTTTTTTTATGTGGTGCTTTTGAGGATTGAACCCAGTGCCTCACACATGCTAGGCAAGAACTCTGCTACTGAACTACAACCCCAGCCCCTAAAAAGATTTTTTTATTGATAAAATTCAGAAGAAAGATGAAAAAAGAAACTGCTATGGGCAGAATTATATCCCCCATAGAACTCATATGCTAAAATCCTATCCCCCAGTACCTTGGAAAGTGACTATAGTTGGAGATAGATCATTTAAAGAAGCAATTAAGGCAAAATGAGGTCACAAGAATAGGCCATAATCCAATATGACTGATGACTTTATAAGGAAAAAGACAGGGTTAGGACACAGAGAACACACAGACCAAAGGAAGATCTCTTGAACACACAGTGAGGAGGTGGCCATTTACAAGCCTAGGGTAGAGACCTTTAGAAAAAAATCAAACTGACTAACATCTTGATCTTGGACTTATGGCCTCCAGAACCATGAGGAAATAAATCACTTTATTTAAGTTGCCCCTCTGTGGTATTTTGTTACGGCTGCCATAGCAAATTAAAACAGAAACACACTGTTGATTTTTTTAAACTTAAAGACAAAACAGAACATTTGGTTGGACACAGTAGCATATGTAATTCTGGTAATTCCACAGGCTGAAGCAGGAGTATTGTAAGTTTGAGACCAGTAGGACAATTTAGCAAGACCTTGTCTCAAAATTAAAAATAAAAGGCATGGGGTGTGTGTGTGTGGTTCGGTGGTAGAAGGTCCCTAGGTTCAATCCCCAGTACCAGAAAATAACAACAACAAAAAACAAAACACTTGATTTTTCCTAGTCAAAACTTATCTATAAATACCACTACTATTCATCAATTGCACAAGTCAAAAAGTTACCATATTACAACCTTGTTGATCTTATCCCAAAAATGTGTTCTGAATCTACCATCTTCATATCCATTATTACCATCTTAGTCTCCACCATTATTATCTCCCATTTGGATTTTTGCAAAAGCCTTCTAAATAACTTCTTCCATTTTCACTCCTCTAATTCAGCAATCCTGTCCTGTTCAACATCAGAAGTTATCTGTTCTCTTAGCATATACACTAACTATCCTGCTTGGAATAGAACTCTTGGGCATGCCTACTTGTTCCATCCTATTTCCAAGCATATTTAGTATACCTGTGTTTGACCTCCACTAATTTTCTCAGTTCCTAGAAAATGTCAAGTTCTTTTCTGCCTCAAGGGCTTCATTTGTTCCTCTTACCCACAGGGTTTTCTCATCTCTTCATAGTGCTTGATCCTTCTTTCCTTATTTTCATATTTAATGGCAACTCCTCCACTGAGACCTTTACTGCCCATCCTATTTTAAGGATTCAGTATTCTCATTTCTACTCTCTTTTCTTTGTATTACAACTTACAATATACTTTTACTTACCCACCTGATTTATTTTGTCTGTCTCTACTAGAATCGGAGAGCAGCACAGCTTAAGTGCTCAGTAAAAACTTGTTGAATGAATCTGGTGAAACATTTGCCTTGTGTATGTTTTAGGCTGATGCCATAATGCTAGAAAAAAAGCCAAGAAAAAAGATAACCTTGGAATTTTAAAGACAGAATGAAAAGAAGGAAACTCTCCAGATTACAGGGACTTATTGAGGGACCAAACAAGATATGGCTGAACAATTCCTTAATTGAATAGACCTAAACTTGGAAAGCAGGAATGGATAAAAGTGACTAGAGGAGGCTTTCCAGTTGCACACTCAAGATGGAACCTGTGATGTGACAATTGGTGACAAGTTCTTTTGTATGCTTAACAAATGTCCAAAATTCCAGACTAAAAAGATTATCTACAGGCAGAAGATACATAGATAATGTTGGTCTTCCACTCATCTGAAGAGATTTTCAAAATATATTTATCCCATAGGTCACCAGAAGGTAGGTGAGAGTCACATTAAGGTTACAGAAAATTAGGAAAATGGAAGAACAGATATGATTTCTTTTTTTTAATGCTTTTTAGTTGTTGATAGACCTTTATTTACTTATTTATATGTAGTGTGAGGCACCCAGTGCCTCACACATGCTAGCAAGTGGTCTCTACTGCTGAGCTACAACTCCAGTTCCCAGATATGACTTCTTGACAAAGGATTGTAGTGGGTTGAATAGTGTTCCTCTCCAAATTCATGTCCACTTGGAAATTCAGAATATGACTTTATTTTGAAATGCTTTTGCAGATTTTTCTTTGCAAATTATGGCTTTAAAGATGAAATTAAGTTATAGATCTAAATTAGGCAGACCCTAAATCCAAAGACTGGTGTCCTTATAAGGGAAAGGAGAGGCAGATCATAGAAACACAGGGAAGAAGCCTGTATGAAACTGGAAGTTGTAGTTATACTGCCCAAGGCAAAGGATGCCATAGCCACCAAAACCTAGAAGGATCAAGGAAAGATTTTTTTTCTAAAGCCCTTGGAGGATATATGGCACTACTGATATCTTGATTTTCAACATCTGGACTTAAGAACTGTGAGAAATATTTCTATTGTTATAAGTGACCCAATTTGTGAGAGCAGCCCTAGGAAGTTAAACACAAAAATCAAAAGAAAATCAAGGAGTAATTTAATTTTTGTGCCATTTATTTGTTCCATTCCTTCAGTGGTACAAATGAACCCAAATTTGCAATCTTAGATACTTAGCCCTTAAATGTTTGCTGTTTCTCAAACTATGTTTATCAAAACAGAACTTCTAACCCACTCTAGGGGACCAAATAATTTGGTATGTAATTGATAAAATGGAGATCCTCCAAGCATTAATATTTTAAAAGTTTCATAAAAAATGAATAGCTTGACTTAAACCATATATAAACATGGATATATATTTTGCAGATGAAAGGAATATTTGATTAGCTAAAATTTCTACATTGAATTTTAGGTGAATATAATAATTATGTACTTCTACATTTTGAACCTATTTTGTTTTGGAAGCAAATAATATTTCTCTTACCAATGACATTTCATTTTATATCCAGGACTGAACCCAGTGGACTGAACTCATTTTTTCACTAAGCTACATCCCCATTTTTTACATTTTTATTCTTTGAGACAGAATTTAAGTTGCTGAGGGTCTTCCTAAACTGCTGAGGTTGGCTTCTAACTTAAATCTTCCTGCCTCAGTCTCCTGAGTCTCTGGGATTATAGGCCATTGTGCTTAGCTATCATTGCAATTTTAAAACCATAAGATTAATATTGTTTATAGAAATTTGGAAAATAGAGAAAAAAACCTGCTCCAATCTCCAATGTAATGATTTCTACTATTTTAGCACATTTCTTTTTCTTTCTTTCTTTTTTTTTTTTGTGGTATTGGGGATTGGATTGATGGGTATTCTATCACTGATACACCCCTAGTCACTTCTCTTTTCTTTTCTTTTTTTTTTTTTGGTATTGGGGATTGAACCCAGGAGCATTTTACCTTTGAGACAGGATCTTTCTAAATTGCTTAGGGCCTCACTAAATTGCTGATGCTGGCCATGAATTTACAATCTTCCAGTCTTAGCCACCAGTCATGGGGTTACATGCCTATCACCTGCTCAGCCCTAGACCTGCCCCTGTACTCCCTTGCAGGCCTCAGTTTGTTTTTGTTTTTTACCAGTCTTTAAATTGCCAGGCTGTCTTCAAATTTGCAGTCCTCCTGCCTCAGCCCTCCAAGTGGTTGAGATTAAAGGCATATGCCACTGTGACTGGGTTCTTTTGCATTTTTTTTTTAAAAAAAAACATGGCTACAAGTAGGACATATAATTTTGTAGCCTCATTAAAAAATTGAATCATATACATTTTGTATTTAAAATCACAATTTTATCAGCCACATATCAAAATTTGCTTATTCAGTTCCCTAATATTGTAATTCAGGTTGCTTTTCACTTTTGCTATTTGAAATAATGCTACAATAAAAATCTTATTCATATTTTTGTTTGCTGCCTCTTTGTTTTTATCTCTCCTAATAGAATTGAGAGGGTGTCATATACTTGATGCTCAATAAAATTTTGTTAAATGCATCTTCTATTTTGTTAGGCTGGAACTCAGAAGTGATATAATACAGGTAAACAGTTTACTTGTGCAATATCTCACAATAAATATTGTTATTATCATGAAAAATATTAAGGAAACATTTTTGGCTCTTAAAATATACTGTCAAATATATTTACTTATTAAAAGAATTGTGATAATTTACAATGCTATCAGCACCATTAATTAATTCACTATTTCTCTTTCTTTTGTTGTTGTTGTTACCAGAGAATTGAACCCAGGGGTGCTTTATTACTGAGCCACATCCTCAACCCTTTTTATTTTTTGAGATAAGCTCTAAGTTGCTTAAAGCCCCATTAAGTACTTAAAGAGGGTCTAGGGCTGAGCAGGTGATGCACATGTAAATTGCTGAGACTGGCCTTGAATTTATAATCCTCCTGCCTCAGCTTCCTGAGCCACTGGGATAACAGGTATGGACCACCATGCCTGGCTAATTCAACATTTCTTGAGTACATACTGTAGTCCAGGAACAGTTCAAGATACTAAAGGACAGAGCCCTGAACAAAATAGACAAAATTCCTGCATTTATGGAATTTTCAGTATAGTGTAGGAGACAAAGTTATACATCTATTTACATAATATATAGAATATAATGTATGAATTAAATGCAATTGCTCATGTATTTCTTATTTATCTATATGTTACAACTAATAAACGTAATGTTGTACAGTTATGTGTTATATAATAAAATGTCATATGACTAAGAAGGAAAATAAAGCAGGATAAGGTAACACGGAACAAGAAAGTGATTTTCTTGTGCAGATTGATCAGGAAAGTTTGTGAGTAGAGACCTGAATGAAGTGAGACAAGATATAGCAGGAACAGTATGGGTGGATGGAAAGGAACAAGAACAGTGAGACAAGAATAAATAACTCAACGATCTCTCAACCATCTGAACATTATCTTTTTAACTTGAAAATGGTCTGTAAAAAAATCACTGTACTCATTAAAAAAAAAAAAAAAGAAACGAAACTCCTATACTCTTGTTCTAATTTTTTCCCCCTGGTACTATGGAATGCATTTCCCAATATTTTCTTACCACTTCTAGTTTGGGAGAGACTACTAGTAATGGTAAAAGCTAGCATTTACAAGATTCTTGACATGTACAAGGCACTACATGTGATTTTATTATTGTCTTTTGCACTATTGGGAATTGTACCCAGCTACATTCTACTACTGAGTATCCACGGACCTTTTGATTTTTTGAGACAAGGTTTCACTAAATTGCCCAGGCTGTCCTTAAACTTGCTATCCTCCTGCCTAAGCTTCCCAAGTAACTGGGATTATAAGTGGGGCCATTGAGCCTATCATTTTATCTTATTAAATTCGCACAACAATCCACTTAGATACGTACTATTAACATAGGAATTATGACTAAGTAATTTTCTGAAATGCAGAATGTAAGTAAATGTGTTTGGGAGCTAGAAGGATAGAAGTCTGAAGTGAGCTGTAAGGTTTAGGCTCTGAATCCAGATAAACCAACACTAGCTATAGTCCCAGCTATTCTGGAGGTGGAAGCTGGACAATCTCAAGTTTGAAACCTGACTGGGTAACACAGGCAATAGTGAGACTGAAAAAAAAGTCCCACAAGAAAAGAGGCTGTTAAGATAAGAATAAAGTATGTTCTGTGGGTAGTCCCTCCATTCCTAATGTTGAAATTACACTTTGTTTGCTAAGCATCTTTTTTTATACTTATTTTTGTAACATACTGTTATCAGTTAAATTGGTTCCTCCACAAGTTTAACCTAACCTCAGGGACCTGTGAGTGTGCCTTTATTGGGAAACAAGGTCTTTGTAGACGCAATCAAGTTATAAGCTCATAATAGATTATAGGGTGGATCCTATCCAATAGCCGGTATCCTTATAGAAAGAGGGATATTGGGACTCAGAGGCACAGAGGAAATACCAAGAGAAGATGGAGGCAGGATTAAAGTGATGCTTCCACAAATACTCTCAAGAAAACTAGAAGAGGCATGGGAAAACTTTTCTACCTGAACCTCCAAGAGGGAACCACCCAGCTGTCACTTTTTGTTCTTCTGATCTCCAGAACTGTGAGACAATAAATACTGCTGTTTTAATATACTGATTTGTGGTAATTTGTTATAGCAGCCCCAGGACACCAACACATATTTAAACATATTCTAATATAGACACTTCGAAGTTTGAAATATATTTCTCAGTAAAAGATATACAGCCTTGTGGATTCCTTCTAGGTTCTCAACATTCACTCTAAAGTCACAAGTCTTGGTAAATCTTAACTTCAAAATGCCTTGTTGCAAGTTCTCCAGTTTTAAAAGCGATTGTAGCCACTCCCCTGGTTATCCTTTGTTCGAAAGGCCTGTGTATCCTTGAGCATACATCCCTCATTAATCATTTAAACTTGAGGCACAGGAATGATTTGCATGAGATTTTGTTGTTCTTCCTCCTTTCAAGACTGACGCTGATCAGATTACCAGTTACCAGGTTTCCTCAACTATTTCCTCCTAAGGATAAAAGAAAGTTGATAGCAGTATTAATGGTTTCTCAGGAAGAGAGTTTGCCATTTTTCTTGATTATTATCGGCTTACCTTTTCTCCCCCACTCAGGTCTCGCTATGTTGCCCAGACCGATTTCCAACTGGACTCAAAGAATCTTCCTGCCTCAGCCTCCTGAGTGCGGGATTGGCTCTACATATACATATACAAGGCACTTGTACAGGTGCAGGCCACCATATCTGGTTCTGAACAAATCCTTTTTTCTTGCTGTCCACTCCATAGGACCTTTTTATGTTGTGAGTAAATGGACTCGGTTTTGGTAACAAGATGGTGTTAACACTGGCCGGTGAAATCCAGCCTTTTAGAAGCAGGAACTCTAGCTATATGCCTTATTTACTTTTCTGACTGAGCTCTCCCAGGGAGAACTCAAAAAGTCTGAGCCAACGCTATATCAGGAACCTGAATTGGTGGTGTTGACATTTAACGCGACAAGCTTCAGCCATTGCTATCAATATATCTCCCATCTTCAGATTAGCTCTAATTGAGTCTAGATCCGTCCGCCTTTATATAAAATGCAACCCCAGTTTGGGGTTGCATCCGATTATTCAAAATCTCCTTAGGGAAGGGGAAAGGCAGAATAAAACAACGAAAATTCTAACGTGAAGCAGAAAGACTAAATTTTTTAGTCTTTTTTTTTTTCATAAAATGGCCCTTGTGCACGCAGAGCGTAAATAAAAACACATACACCTTCTCTTATCTAATTCACAAACTCCAGCTTCTGTATTTGGCGCTTTTCCCATTAGTCAAAGGAACGCAAAGCTGCCCACCGCGCAGGCGCATGTGTATCCTAGAAGGGTTCTGGCGCAGGCGCGCGTGCCGGGAAGTGGGCGGGCTCGCGCGCGTGCTCCGCGGTTCACTTCCGGCAGGCCCCTCCCCCTCCCCCGCGTAGCCACCTCCTCCTCTCCCTTCTCCTTTCTGGCCTCTCCCTCAACTCTCCACCCCATACGCTCTCCTCCCTGCTCGCTTTCAGTTCTTCCCCTCCCGCTCCATCCGGGTCGCTGACGGCTGTCTCCGGACTGGACAGTGGTGGCGGCTGCTTTTCTCTGAGGAACCTGGTAAAGTTTCACAGGGACCTGACCGGGGAGCAGCGGAGCAGCGGCCCGAAGCCGGAGGAGCCTTGGTGATCGCCGCCACTGGCTGAAGGAGGGTCCCAGGAGCTGGAGACGTGCTTTAGCAGCCGCGCAGTCTCGCTATTTGGGGAGGGGCCGTCCTCGGTCGCCTTGGGCTTTCCCTGCCCTGAGGGGTCGGGTGAGTCGTTGCCCCGGTGGGTTCGGGGGGCGTGTGGTGGCGTTAGGGAGGGGGCAGGCTGGGCTGCGCGGATACAGGCCGGCATGGCGAAGGGCGCTTTCTCAGCGCTTCCTGGGGGTGAGGGGCGGGGGGTGAGGGAAGGGTCGGTGCACCTTGGCCCTGGGGCTGGAATGTCGCACCTCCCTGGGGAAGACCTCCTTTGGGTTGAGGCCGCCGGGTGCCCAGACTGGTCTACTGGCCTCTGCGTCTGGGAAGCTGCGGTAGTTGACTGGTCGGTCCGCGAGGTTGGGAGTGTGCATACGATTTCCCTTCCCCGACCCGCGTGAGCTGGTGTAGGTGCCTGTTGAGGGAAAGGATGGGAGTAAACTGCTTCTCATTCTCCTACCTGTTGCTGGAGAGAGAACGCTTTTCCCGTATCCCTTTAGGACTTTTAAGAGAAAAGAGTGGCTAAATCTAGTCGCGCTGAAATCGAGGATATTTTCCTTTCCTCTTCTTAAAACAAAAGGGGGGGGGGGGGGAATACGGGAAGACAGTGCAGAACTCTCGGTAACTGTAGAGTTCTGATGCCCCAAAAGAATGAAATCAAACTTCTTTTAACGGATGGGTTATGGAATGGGACACCTTCGGCACTTGCTAGCCGTAATGTGGAAAAATTGGGTTTTGAAACTTTGAAGTTTTGGTGTAAGAACTGTAGGTGATTACAACAGGAATAATGTAGTAGTACCGGTATTATTTAATAACGTAGTGCATTTGAAAATCTGTGCAGGTTTAGACTTAGTAGACTATTTGTTATTTATTTCTTTGCAAGCGAAGAAATATTCAGTCAATATACTGGAAAGTTCTACAGATTTCGCCACCAAACTATCAGTGTCCCAGCCCCCATTTCTATTCTTGAAAAATCAGCAGTCCTGCTGGGGTGACTTTACAATTTTTTTCCCCCGTCTCCAAATAGTTGTCCCAGAGGTACACATACACATAGACGTGGATTGCCCAGGGAGAATTTTTGAGTCAACTGCCGCTCCTAATAGAAAATGTTGAATTTTTGGGGAGGTCTTGATATTGAAATTGTGTATTTATTATAATCACATTAGTTTAGTGTTTAATTTGCAGTGAGGTTGGAATGTTAGTATTTTGACTAAGATCTCTGGAGGTGATTGTTTTAAAGTTAGGGCTTAATAGAATTCTAATTTTTTGTATGGCCTATTAGTATGAATAATTGAAAGTCATTTGAATTATCGGAAACTTAAATTTTTCCATTATTGGTTTTATTTCTTTTACAGAAAAGAACTTCAGTTTTCTGTTGATGTGGAGGTAGGTGTTGTATTATTTAATTATGCTATGATTTGAGGAAGATTGCAAGGTTATGCTTCTGCAGTTGGCTGTATGCTTGACTTTGGAGGGGCATTAGAAAGACGTCTTATTTCCTGCACTTATTGAAATTATTTAAAGTAAAAACAAATAACTGATTACTTTCATCCACAGTTATTTTCATAAGTTTAATCTATCACAAGGCAACAGAAAGCCAAAACTAGTTAGTGTTTTAAATTTTGCAAAGAGTCATAGAAAGTGACAATTTTCCCAAAGCATTTTTGTATGGTGCATTTAAAAGTAAAACAACTAATTGGTTTTAGAAGCTAAATGATACTTATGTAGCATAGTTTAAAATGTCTAGTGTTTACTGTATAGTGATTATTGTAGCCTATCACTTGATTAAAGAGCAGTTATATATCTTGTTTCCTTTTGAAGTCATGTTAACTTTTTTCTGTCTCCTCAGACATAGGGTACCTCCAACTTCCCAGTGTTTCAGAAGTGAGTTTTGTATTGAAACTGGAAGACCAAAATAATTACAAGCATGTTGTGCTGGGGAAATGCATCCTTTGGACAACTAGGTTTGGGTGGAATTGATGAAGAAATTGTATTAGAGCCCAGAAAAAGTGACTTTTTTGTAAATAAAAAGGTCCGGGATGTAGGATGTGGACTCAGACATACTGTATTTGTTCTGGATGATGGAACTGTGTATACGTGTGGATGTAATGATCTAGGACAGCTAGGCCATGAAAAATCCAGAAAAAAACCAGGTAAGTGGAAACATTTTCATTTTCTATTTCTAATAATTATTTTTAAGTTTGAAGTATTGTATTTCTGTAGTCTTAAATCTATATTCTTTATCAAACTTTAAAAGCAAAGCAGGAGTTAATTATATCCTTGACATTTGCTTGCTTCTTTTTGGTTTCTTTTTTTACTGTTATTATAAACCCTTATAGTATGGTGTGTAAAAAGTGAAATAGAGAAAACCAGCCTGCAGAGTATCTACATCTTCTTTGGTATAAAGGTATATAGAACTCTTTAATAAGCTCAGTCTCCCTTAACAGATTTTAATTTTGTAATTTATTTTGATGTTTTTGTATATCTGGGGGGGGGGAACCCCATAAGATAATTTTATTTGGTTTAATCAGAAATATCATTTTTACTACCATAATTAGCTACTTTCAAGTATCAATGCTGTCTATGATGGTTTCATGAATATGAGGTATTCTGAGTTTTCAGTAGCTGATCAAGCAGAATTTAAAATAATTTTTTTTAAGAAAATGAGAAATTTGAGGAATTTGGTAACATTTCATGTTCTGTTTTCCTGGATATCTTAAATATTTCCATATTTAGGAATATTACTATGTTTTACTTTTGATTATAACAAAAGTTACTATCTTAAGGTGGTAAATGTGGGTAAGAATGCAACTATATTGACTTGGTTCTATTTTCTATGGCAGTTATTTTTTATAAGTTCACTTTTTAAGTGGTTTCTGTTGTTAGTTACTTTTGATAATACAGTTATCAAAAGTTAATACAGATATAATATATTCAGGCACCTTTCAGCTTTCATATCATCTTAACACCATGCCAAACTTCAATCTTCCGATAATGAAAATTGTAAATAATGTAGTTTTTTATCCTTTGTTGTGAGGGCTTAATCTCTCTTGTCTCTTCTGCTTTAATTTATAATTTAGTTTTAATGAATGATAATGGTACTCAATGTAGTTGGTTTAATTATTGTAGAACTCAAGGTAAATGGCAAGTTCCTTGTATCTCACTAAGAATATTTCATGGAATCTTACCAGATTTTCATATTTTCAGGCATTGAGGTGTCACTTGGTAGAAATGAATGAATGGTACTTTCCGATAATGGCTTTGATTTTTATCTGTGCAGTAGAGGCAAATGGGCCCTTTACTTTTTTTGTTTAGCTTTGGAATGTTGCCTCAGATTGAAATTTTCATGGTATTGGGACTTCTGCTGTTCTTTGTATTTACCATGCTCCATAGAAATAACTGAACTTTGCATATCTATAATTTTGGAAAGAATGGAGGGCAAGTAGAAAATACAAAGCCAGCACATAAAAATTGTCAATACAGTTACTGCAGTTTTCTAAGATTAAGAAGATTTAATGTTATTAAACACTTGTTCTGCGTCCAGGACAAGGATAGACACTGTATGCATAGCATGATGATAATGCCTGAAATAGCTTCTAACTTTGTAGGTGAGATTCTGAGAAACTTAACTAGCCACTTCTTTGTGGTCTTACTGACACTGTATTGATTGCATCGTGACATCTATATCATCCTATATTTTCATCCTGAAGAATTATGTGATAATATGAAGTTAGGAGTATGGATTTCCTTAACTTAGGAAACCTCTTTAGGATTACCTCATTGTTGTCCAGGGTATGTACCACAGTCTGGAATAGAAACATGATAAAATGAGCTTTTTCTTTCAGAAATTGAGCCTGGGTTGGGAGTTAAAAGCAAACATAAATGAAACAACTGGATAGAATTAAAATTTTAAATGATGTGCTGAATACTTTCAGTTCAGGAAATTTAAATAATGAGAAATGTCACTGTGGGATAGAATTAAAATAAGATTTCAGGGTGAAAATGAGGGCTTAAGTTTAATATTGTCAACAATAGCTGAAAAATAAGTCTGGTATGATGGTGCATGTGCATGCCTATAATCTCAGTGGCTGGGGGAGGGAGGCATGAGGAACAAAAGTTTGAGGCCAGCCTCAGCAAGAGGCCCTAAGCAACTTGGTGAGACCCTGTCTCAGTAAAAAAATAAAAAGGTTGGGGATGTGGCTCAGAGGTTAAGCACCCCTGGATTCATTCAATCCTGGGCACATCCCACCCCCGAAAAAAAATAAAAGTCTGGAGCTGAAATTGCTTAGTTTTATACAGGGAGGATTCTGATCCTGAAGAAAGTCTTTTATTATTAGAAGTCCTGGTTCAGTGATGATATATTGAAGGGAGGGTTCAGAGGTAGGAAAAAGTGAAAGTTCAAGGACAGTTGATTGTGATAGGGATTTCATTTTTTAACCTCAGTCTTGGTTTAAGCTGCTTTAGTAGTAAATTTTAATGTTTTTAACTAAATTACGTTTGAAATAATTCTTAAATTCTGTAAATGTGCCCCTTTCCTAATCCTTTTTTAAATTTATGAGTTCAAGGAATGGATTAGAAGATAAGAAGTTGTTGGATCTTACTGGATTTTAAAGTCTTCTAGTAATTGAACAATCTGGTTGTATTTCTAGGATCATGTAGTAAGTAAGCATGGTTCATT